AGTTGTTTCTTTTTCTCCGGGTAGTAAGGGAGCAAAAGGAGAGCGGACATATGAGGCCCCGCGTAGGCATTTTTCACAGTCGGCTGTGGAGCTTCTCGCGTAAGCGCCGCGATCAGAGCAAAACTCCAACCGCGTAGGCTCGCGGAGGCGTTTTCAGTCTGAAATACACCTCGCGTAGGCCATCCCACATGGTGTTTGCACATGGCGTAGGCGCCGGCGTCGGCGTTTGATACGTCATAAGCAGTACCTTTCCAAAGAAAACTCTGCCATATGTGGCTCGGCCAAGAACCTGCCAGCGGTTCAACTCTTTGCAAATAGTGAAGTCCAAACGAAGAAAGCTGAGCTTGCATTTGTGCTGGTGGATGTGACAGGAGAGATAGTGGCTGTACAATCGGAGTATTGGCCCTCGCCTTTGCCTTTGCATTTGGTGTACAATTCACCCGGTCTTGGACACCACGATCGCGGCACACCATGCTGACCTTGAATCAAGTCTGACCGATGAGCTATGCGCTTGCGCTCTATAGGATGCTTGGCCCCAAGACAGGTCGTAAGCCAGCGGAGTTGGTCGATTGATTTCAACCACCGGAAGCCAAACGGAGCTGCAGTTTCAGCCAGGGGGTTTGTCAACACCCCTGGTTGCTTAGACCGAGGCAGACAAAGGCTACATGGAGCGGCAGTTCTTTGTGGCCTCCACCTTGCACGTGCCAAACTCGGGGCCGGCGGCTGGTATCATTTTGGGGTAGGTGCACCACCCATTTTAGTCTATTTATTTTAGTGGGGATTATGTTCGCTGGGGGTACGGGGTTTTGACGCATGGGAGGGATGACCATTACCCCACCAGCTTGACGGGGAAGTTTCCAGAACTCCCCTGGCTCCATGTGCAGTGGTCTTTTGGGAGGCTCCATGTTGGTCTGGGCAGTCGTTTGTGCATGGCGGGATGAAGTAAATCGGAGTTCCAACTCCTACATAAACCGTGCATAGCGTCCGAGTGGCCTCTCAGTCCGCTCATCCAGAACAGGCGTTCAGCTTGCAAACAGTGGATGTTTGAGCTTGGCGGCCCTTGCTCGCCCAAAAACAGTTTGTATTTGGGTATGTCCACAAACTGGGAAATAAATCTGACAAATGGGTGGTTTCCTTCTGGTCTTCGCAAAATGGGTTGATTCTTGCGGACCCCCCGCTTTGGAGACATACCAACTAAGAAGAGACGCTCGCATTTTGTCCTTCAAACAACCTCCTGGCACAGTTAAGCAAAACACAAGCTTGCTGCTTGCCAGGTTTCCTAGTCACACAATTCGGTGTTTGGATGAAGGACCCTAAAGGCCCCTCCGGGCCCTCGGGTTGAACAAACGTTTCTTTTCCGTCTATACTTGCCTTGCTTTTAGTGCCCTCATGCCGCCCGTCTAAGTCAGCGCCTTCACGAGGTTCAGAATTCCCATTACCATCCCAGCTTGTCCGTCGTTTACATGTGCTCAGGATGGCCACGACCCGCGAAACTTGGGCTTGGGAAGCCACACGAAGCGTCGCTTGAAACCTGTGGCTGGAAAAATAAAGCGCCACGTTTCAGAGGTCAAATGCAGCGGTCCCTTTCGGCTGGATCCAAAGGGACCAGCAGCCAATCGGATCAAAAATGCCCGGGTTGACCACGGGTTGACCCCAAAGTGGTGTTCCATGTCTTCTCGTTTCGGCTTGCAGTTCCAAACTCCAGAGCTTCTTTTGTGGGTTCCGGCCCCCTGATGTCCGCTGCATGCATTGGCCAGAACTGGACGCTGAGGACGGCAGCTCATGGCTGGACTGGGCCTTACAAACCGGGCGAACCGGGGCTGGGATTCGAATCCGAGGTGCTGCTTCCCAAGGCCAAGAAGGATTCTGAGCTGAAGGCGCGAATGGCCAGGGTGCAGTCGTTGCTGGACATGGCCCTGAATTTTAATAGGGAACCACATCAAAAGAGGTTGGTGGACATGAATCCCCACCTAAATGATGTCCACCAAAGGCCCCCCCATTAAAATTCACAATCAAATGGCGAAGTGTCCCTGTCCACCCCTGACCCAATGAAGAAGTTATCACGCGGAAACGCTTAGCAGTTCGAGCCCTTTGCAGATGTCAAGGGAGAGTGTTGCGGCCGGGGGTGAGCAGATGGCTGGAGCGCCCTGAGTCAAACGCAAGGGGAACCTGCCATCTCCTGGTCCCCGATTTGAGGAAAATTATAATCAACTAGATGGTTTTGCAGGTTCAGGAATCAAGACTCCAGATTTGTTGAACCCGGTTGCTGTGGAAGTGGGAGGTTTGCGTTGCCAGAAGACATTTCCCAAAGGCAACGGACTTGCAACACCGGAGCGCTGCAGTAGTTGCAGCAGCAGCAGCAGCAGCAGCAGCAGCAGCAGCAGCAGCAGCAGCAGCAGCAGCAGCAGCAGCAGCAGCAGCAGTGCCATTGCAGCAAAGGCGATTAGGAACGGGAGTTTGTGAAGTGAGGCAGCATCGCGTTTTGCGAAGGCCACCAGGTTGTTTGTTGTGAGGCCACCACAAGGATTGAAGAAATCGCGGGGGGGGGGGTCGACAGATGAAGCTCCTCAAGTTTTCTGCTCGGAGGTTCTTGAGCTGGAGCCCACCGATGGCCGGCTGCGCCCTTGGACGGTGTTTGGTTTGGCCACTTTTGGGACCCCAAGGGAAAGAAAGGGTAGGTCCAAAGGCGGGAGTTGAAATCGAGCGACCCTGTATAGCATGCCTTTGGCCGCTGAGCTGCTAGTGTCTTCAAACATAGGGCGCCCCCGGAAAGGCGATTCTTGCAGACACGCAGACACGCAGACAGACACGGAGCTCCCAAGTTCCCAATGGGTGAAGCTCCTCGCCAAACCATGGCTCTCTGAGGTACATCGGCTTCCTGCGCCCCGGAGCTGAAGAGGTGGAGTCAAAGAAGTGGCTCGGAGTCCCAGACCTCAGGGCCGGGTCGGGAGACCGCATGTTTGTCAGCTGATGTTTGTGCCTTCCAAGCAAGCCAAAACAGAAGGGAACCAGGGAAACCAGAGGAAACCATGTAAACCTAGAGGTAAGGAGCCCTGGTTACCTACCACTATGGGGCCTCCCAAGAAACTTTGGGCACAATAGGGTAAAGGGCAGCCTTGTTAGCTAGCTGTTCCAGCCATCCGCCTCTATGTAAAGGGACAAGGGGAAACTACTACCCGTTCTGGGGATGACCAAATTGATCACCTATGACCAAATAGAGGCGGAATCCAAAACAAAAATGGGAGATTCACGAAGCAAACAACACCCGGCAACTGGGCCCTCTAGGTTTGTTCTGCTTCACTCGATAGTCTCCTCGCTAACCAACTGTCACTGTCATTTCTGGAGTTCCTTTCGTGCCTAAGGCCTGGAATCGCTCCCAGAAGTACGAAGCATGGTCCCTCTCATCTATTCCACCCAGCGACTCTGCATCTCAGGCCGTTGTTGATTTGTGTCGCTGCCTCCACTCCCCGTTTTTTCTTTTTTAAAGCACTCTAACTCGCCGACACTGTATTGTTGTGGGCAAATGTCAAAGCGACTGCCCAGGTACCTGAATGAGTACATCGCAGTAGGCGGGCCTCGGCGCCTGTTTTGTAATTGTGTAGAGGAACATGCTGACTTATTCACGGCCAAACAAATATGTTCGATCTACTTGGGTTGGTCGTCCTGTGTTCAGCGGCCTTTACTTCCTGTCCTGCGTTCTGAACCGGGCGGACCCTCCTCTTGGAAACTGTTCCATCTTGTAAGCTGTTCCATTGGAAACACAGCGCACACAAACAATTGTCCAAATAGTGTCCAACTATTGAGTTCTGTGCCATCCTGACGTTTGGGTTTTGCGCTCCATGTAGGTATGTTTCTTGGTTGTTTCTGTTTGTCGCAGCGTTGTTTTGCCTGTGTCTCATTTTATCGGTTGCCCTTTGCTCACCGTTGGCCAGCTTGTCACTTGCACTGCACCACGGGGCCGGATACTCAGACTGCATGCGGCTTTGTTGTTGGCTTTGAAGAGTGAGGAACTTGACAGTCAATAGAATACTGGCCCCGCGTGGGCCAAGTGCTGTAGAAGCACCAGCTGAGTCGCTTGTTTGGCAAAGCAGGCCCTTCACGTTGGGCAGGCAAGACGCTCTGGGAGGCAGAAGGGGAGAAGGTGAAGAAGCTGAAGAAGGAGGTGGTTTTCCGCGGAAGAGAGGGGACCCGGACCCCCGAAAGCTCCCGTATGGAACATCCCAAAGCGAGTTCAAATTTTAGTTGCAGGCCAGGACTAGGACATGCCGAGTTAAACCACGTGAGTCGCATTCGGATTCGGATGCAGACTACACCACGGTTTGGCATTCGATGAGGGTCACCATTTTGTCAACCCTCCACTTGCTGGGCGTTTGCTTTGCAGACGAACCTGTTGGCAAACTGGGGCTCTTTGGGGAGGATGCCTGGGGACAAGCTTGCGTTCAAACAACGGCTCAATTCAATTACCACAAGAGCAGGCACACAGAAACCAAGCTGGGTCCCAAAGGGGGGGGGATTCTTGACTTCCCCTCTGGTTAGTTGGGCTACTGAGAATATGTTTTGCCAGCCTACACTCTGCTGGTCGTTGCTTGCATGCAGCTGCACAAGAGTTGCAATGTGCTCGGTTCAATCCAATTAGTCCAGCCCGCTGCACGCATTATGTCGCGGTATTTGGCTGTGTTGTCCCCGCATGTATAATACTCCCGCCTTTAGTCAGGGACTAGGAATTCCAGCATGATGCGTTGCTTCCCTAAGCTTGCCCCCATCAGGGATCACAGGCCGACACTATCACAGACATACCCACAGAGACCAACACCACGTGGATGCCCTCTAGGCTTGAACTTGCCATGCACAGATGCAGTCTGCCTATTTCATGCCGAGCTGGGAGAAAAACGATGGCACCGATGGCACCATGATGCAGGTCCTGTCTTTGGAGAAACCTTACTGTAGGCTTTGCTTGAACAAACTACAGATCCAGCAGCCCGTTCAAAGCTTCAGTCCCCCAAACTTCCAGACTCCCCAGCAGCCTCGCCATGGATCTGGGATAGAGCGCGTGCAGGGTCCCAGAGGGGGCGGTTGGGTCGAATTGCTGGAGTTCGAATTGCTGCGGCTCAAAAACAGGTATGGATCCAGGGTCCGGCACACTATCCACGCATGTCATCCGGAGGTCCATACCTTTTGAAGCGCCTGTGGTCCACCCATGGCCGATACCTCATGCTTGAGCCTTTTCGTGGATGTCGAATCTTTAGCACGAGCAGGGAGTTAGTATTATTGATGTTGTATGTAGTGTTTGGTGAATCCAGTATCAGGTTGCTGAGAATGAGTTCCGGAGCTGTTGGTACCAGTTTGAGTCACGCGAGCCGCCTTCACTCTGGGGGTTCAGGCGGGCTCTCTCCCCCTATCTCTGTATCTCTCTCTTTTTTTCTCCCTCGCTATTTACACATATATATATATATACTTTGCGATATTAAAGGCGGTGCAAAACGCTGGAGTGTCTCTTGAAATCCGCAATGCAAGTGACATTTTCAAGCGCACATCATTGTCGGAGGTCCAATATGGGGCGTGCCGTACAACCGGTGTGTGCTTTCCTTTTGTGTCCGGGTATCGTTGGAAAAGGTTTTTGATTTTTAGGAATCACCTTGACAGGAACTGTCTCAAGCATAAGTACAGAGTTCCACATGTCCTGAGAGGTGAATGTGGGTGGTGCATGCACAAAGCTGGATGTGATCACATTTGCCACCTATGTTGCTTTTGCCTTTGCTCATGCCAGGCAAACTTCCTTTTACTTTGGGTGGCAGGGAAGATCATGGGCCCTTGATGGGAAATTGGGTCAAGCATGAAAAGAACTTTTCACTAGAGGAAGTATGACCATGGCCCAAGGAGTGTGTAGGTGAAAAAGCCTGCTGTAGGCAACCTGTTGCATCCTTCCATTCTGCTGACACACCCCTGGGTTTCTGAATGTCCCTCTTGGTCTACTGGCAGGGGAGTACTCTTTCTCTTTCATGGCGGGAGTCCTTTGTTGCAGCAAACATGTTTTGTTGCCAGTCGACAATGGATGCTTTGTCAACCAAGCGTGTGTTGTTCAGCCAAGCTGGTGGATTTTCAACCATGCAAGAAGCGTGCGCAGATTCCTTTGCCTGCTAGCAGCCAATTATCATGCCGGGTTTTTGGAGGATCCAAATCGCCCTTAGATCTCTGGGTGACTACTGGATTTCCGATCGAACCTTCAAAGGGTGATGTTTTTTTGCTGAGGGGCAAAACCGACTCAGTTGTGGTTTCTGTCTGGCCGCGCCGAGTGGCCAAGGCGCGCATGCCGATGGAGTCGGACACACGAGAAGTGAGGATCGCTCGTGACAGACGAGTTGCTGCCGTTCACGGGGTCGCCTTTGGAGACCTCCTTCTCCCGCTTCAAAAGGGCTCCCGCTTCAAAAGGGCCCTACACAATTCAAAGTGCTTGTGCATTCCTTGACGTTGATCCAAAAAAGGAACCCCAAGAGGAAATGCCCACTTACACACAATACAATTCCGGATGACGTGTGGATGTCTGAGATTCGAGAGGGGAGAACGGTGAACCATCTATCACTGTGGGTGTATCTTTCTTTGTATGGCTCGCAGTGCTGTGTTGTGCAATGTCCTAACGTGATGCACACCTGTGCTACTGAATGTGCTTGGGCATTTTAGCTGGGCATTGCATCAATCATACGATTGCATAACTTCATAGCAAGGGCAGCCACAGCAGCCTGATGGTTTCTATTAAGTACGGCTTCCCCTGCAACCGCATCGAATCTTGAGGCAAGCCTATTCGGCAGAAGCCAGCGGCCTTCCACTGGACTGCGAGTTTGTGCTCATGTGAGCAGCGCCATACGCCCTGGTACTGCAAAGTAGTAAGGGTGGGTGTCCTATAGAGCCGCCGCGAAAGCCAAAACGCAGGCCGCGAAAGCCAAAACGCAGGCCGCGAAAGCTTGCGAAGCATATGTAAATATATTATACATATATATATATAGATACACATACGCATATTGCGAAAATGCCTAAAGAAGGTCCCACAGGGAAAGCCCCCGCGGGCGCGTACATTCTGATGTGTTTTTTTTTGCACTTGAAACCGCCGCGAAAAACAATTCTAAGAGAAGTTCGAAGCCCGCGAAAGCAAGACATGTCGCGCAATCATCGGGAAAGGGCCTGCGAAAGCGCAATCTTCATGGTAGCCACGCTTTGCTCATTTGAGCTTTCGGCATCGCTCATCTGAGGATTCGCGAAAAAAAACCTCCGGCCCTGGCGAGGAACTCTCCATGCTTTACCCGAAGCGCGAGAAGGGGATCGGGCCCGAGAATGGGGCGGTAAGACAAGTGATCCTTTTATGGTCCTGGCCATTTGAGTTTGTCTCAAAATGGGGGAACTCCTCCAAACAGGTGGTTTCCTTTTGATTTCCGTTTTAAAATCACCAAAACAACTTACCCTCAAAAAAGATGATCTAATTTAGTGAAGGTGTGATTTGTTTTTCCCTGTCGGTTGCTTGCGAAGGGAGATGAGTTGCACCATGTTGTCAACGCTCTGAGTTGGCGAGGTGAGATTCTGCGCGAGCTGGTTGCTGGGACCTTTGATCTTGAACCTTGAACATTCCGGGAAGCGTGTGTTTTTACACAACCCAGCAAAAGTTGAGGTTTTCTATTGCAAGGGATGTTCAACAGCACGACTCTGTAAATGCCACTCGGGTAGTTAAAAGGCGGACAGCTGCGGATCCTCTTTTTTCACGTGGATAGCTTGGCTTCTTTAGGCGCGCGCGCACTTCCAACTCAGCTCTGTGGACTTCATTGGCAGATCAGTTTGCTTTCATTTGGTTAGGAATCTGTTTGATTTCCCCTGTTGGTTTTGAAGGACATCTACCACTACCGAAAGTAGTACGTGTTATTTTTCGAGAAACTTATGCATATGAAGGTTTGGTGTCACACCCAACTGCCTTGGTTCAGCTTCGTCATTATCTCAATGTGTTTATTGAGAAGTCAAGATACGCGACAACCAGCGTTTACACTTGCTTCAGCATGGCGGCAATTTGCTGGCACTGGGGCAACGTTGCCGTGACAACAACACCCTCACACGAGAAGAGTTCGTTGCGCCTCGGAGCGCGTACACTATGCAAAGGCTGTCAGACAAGTCGGGCCATAGTTGAAAAGCAAGTTTGACTGGGGCCATGGTCCAAATACAAATCTGGCTTCAGGTTGGCATTAATGCGTTCGGTCAACGGCACCATCCGCGTGGAAACCTTGGCCATTCCCAAGCTGCCAGGATGTTGCATGGAATTCAGTGGCTCCTGGCTTGCAGGCTCAGCTTTCTTGTTTCCCAGCCATTTGGTTCCTTGGGCCTTCAGCTTTTCTAAGTGTTTAGTGCTGGGATTTTTCCACATACTTCACCAAGTGAATCAATTTTTGGATCTGAAATTGGACTCCGAGGCCCAGTTTTGTCGCTCGGCTCCGGCCGACTCCGAGGCTCTGTGGCTTCAGAGCTCGAAGCCTCAGAAGCTGCGGTGGGACGGGAGAGGGGAATTCTGAGCGACGCGTAGAGCTTGGCGCGACCCGGTCGTGTCGGTCCTGTTTTCTTCTTGAATACGACTGGCTTGATGCGCATAGTCATCTGTTTGTTCCTGTGGAGGCCTGAGAATTGTCACGTTTCAGAGTGCAGAAGAAGTTCTTGTCTCATTGGGAAGGTTCTGTGTGAGAATCCACACCTTTGCCAGCTTATCTGATTTTATGTAGGCAAGACGTTGAAAACATGCTGCGAGAGGCGTATGTTTGATCACCCCCGCCCCCATGTTGGTGGGCAAGGCACAGGAAGTTCAGAGATTCGGCTAAGGCATATGCAAGAACACATGGTGAGGTGTGTTTCTGTTGAACCCCTTACGTGTCCACTGCAAACGGACTTACACTGACCTTTTGGTTGCCCAGTCGTGGTCTACGTTCAGTCACGTGTGCAAAAGGTTGAGTGATGTCTGTCAGATTCTCTCGCGAAGATGCTTCTGTTTGATCTTTTTTGGCTGGTCGCAGGGCAAACCCATTTCGGATTGTGACGCCCATCCTCAACACACAGCGACTTGTTATTTGGCGGTTCCAATCTTGCAATCGGCTAGGCTTTGGATTGAGCCAGACATCTTTCAATTACTCTCAAAACAGTCATTGAGTGAGCCCTTGAATGGCGGCTTGGATTGGTGGTTTTGCGGATTTCAGCCCCTGGTTCTTGAGGGCAAATTTGCCTTGACCTCTGCATCCTTCAGAGAAAACACTGCCTTCGAACTATTGGGGCAGCGCCTCTTTGGACGTGTCAATTATCAACAAGACTTCCGGCCTGCCAATTCTTAGATGCAACATGTTCGGACCAGTATTCTTCCCCAGAATTAGCTCCCCTTTTCCCTTTTTTGCTTTTTTGGGGTCTCTTTGTTTTCCACTAACCAGGCAAAGAGATATTTTTGTGCTGGGGTCCGATTTGTCCAGCCCAGTATTGTCTTCCGATCCCCTGGGGCTTGGGCGACCCGCTTGGGCTGTCGGTCGGTTTTATTGGAGAGACGTGGCGCAATTTCTCCCCATTGAATCCGTTATTCACAAGGCACCGAGCAATGAGGTTCTTCTGAAACTGAAGTTTGGGTTCCAGCAGAGGAGTAGTATTTCAGAACCTACAGAACCTACAATCCCTCGAGCCTCAGACAGAGATGAGGATTGTGGGATTGAGGGTCTATTTTTCTAAAACATATTGTCACAATCCAGTGTTTGCACGTGTTTTCTGCGCACATCAGAGCCATACTTGAGGGTGCTCAGCTTGGTTGCTACAAAGCTTCCTTGCAGATGATATCTCCAGAAGAGCACCACTGCACCTCAATACCGCACATCAACATGCTTGCGCTGTCCGTATGGGCAAAAACCTCAGACCTTGCACTCAGCGGACCAATGCCTGTCATTTGAGGCAGCCCATCTCGGCATTATCTTCGTGGTTTAACAAATGAACACTTCACACATGTTTGGGCGGATCTTCAACGGCGAGGACGCTTGCATCTTAGCCAAGATAATATGTCTCCCTGGCCAGTTGTTTGCCCGGATGAGGTTTGGAGCCGATTTGAAGTGATTGAAGTCAATAATTGTGGATGTACACAACTTGGATATAATTAATGGCAGAAACCTGTTACACGCTTTGTGAAGAAACTGGGGAAGAACAAGCATCTACAATGCAGAACATCAGCTTTTTGTTTCTGCCACGGATTTCAACAAGCTCCCCGAGAAAAATTGACCTGGCGCCCAACAAAACAAAGCGTTTGCTCAGCAGAATCGCCAGGGGGGCTTTTTTGTGCGGCTTTTCAGCCCTGAGCAACTGGAAGTCTGGCAGCTGTCAGCTCAGGCCGTGGCCTGCGCTTGTGTTCTTGCGTTCGGGGCGTGCGCCTCAGACGCCACTGCCCTGTGGTAGAGCAATAGTCCGGCAGTGGGTGAGGCTACCCGTTTTTGGGGGCTTTCAAGGGAAACCACTGGAAAACCAAAGCTATTTGGGGGGTGCCGTAAAAACGACCCATATAGAGGCATGCGTACAGCAGATCTTCGGCCTTAGTGTCTTAGGGGAAAGGCCCTAGCAGGTGCCATGACTGGGACTGTACCAGAGCCCCTTGATTTGGACTTTTTAATAGAGTGCTTACCCAGAACTTGCGTGCTTTGGCCCCACTTTGGTGTCGGAGACCTTCCTGTTCGGACGGATGGCTTGTAGTCTGTGTCCGGGGAGCTTGTATCCAACCACTTTTGCTCTAGGGCACGATGCCTAAACTTGTTTCAGTTTCGAGGACCAGACACCTTGGTGGAGCAAATGATCCGCTGACAGCCAAGGCTTGCTATGTCGTTTTTGTTATCAACTTCCAGCCGGACCTCTTCACAGCGCCTTGGTCATTCGAGTCGCTTTGCCCGCGCGCAAAGGGCCCAATCTGTTGATCGCACCAAGAGCTGGCGCCTTGCCGGATCGGATTTCATTTATTGCTTTGCCTTTTCTTCACCTTGCAAGCTTTCCACTTCTCAGTGTTGAGAGAAAGGGACTACCCCGAGCAGTTCTTGGAAGGGTGCTTGGCTCCAAACTTGCAAATGCCATGCACAGCATCTCTTGCGCTAAAACACACACCACACAAAAACATGTCACAACCGCAGCACAGACAGAGGCGGTGCAGAACAACTGCAGCAAGACCGACCGACAGACAGACAGAGACGGGCAGGCGGGCAGACAGACAAAGGGCCGGGCGTACAGACAGCCAGCCGGACAGACAGACAGACCGACGCAAGCAAACACACACGCGCGCATGCACCCAAGCACAGACACATACACAAACGCAAACACAAACACAGAAACACACAGACACACACCCACCCACCCACCCACCCACCCACCCACCCACCCACCCACCCACCCACCCACCCACCCACCCACCCACCCACCCACCCACCCACCCACCCACCCACCCACCCACCCAAGACACTTTTGCTCTCAGTATTCAGGTAATGTGGGAATAAGCTTTCCAAGCATCCCAGACAAAAGTTGTGGGCAAAGAGTCACTCCCCCACAACCCCAGTTGCTTAGCATCAGTTTGCCCTCTTTGTTTTGCGCGTTTGGCACCCTTTCTTTCTGCATGTTTTTTCGGGTTGGAAAACCAAGAAGCACCCCCAAATGGGTGCATGGACCGCACTCGCCGGCCACGTTGCGTAGGCTGTGGAGCAGAGGCGCGGCCCGTTGACGTGTGTTCGGACCTGAAAGGGACAAGCGGTCCCGTTTTTGGTTGCGCTTTGGATGGATGGCTTATAGGAAGACCACCAAAAGGAAAGCCATAGGAAGCAACAAGAGGACACCAGGAGGAAGCCAGGAAGAAAGCCATGAGGAAACCAGTTTGTAGATTTGATTTGCACCAAGAGAGAGTAAGATATTTGAGGAACCCGTTCTTAAAGGGGTCAAGAGTCTCATGTAGGCGAACTAGCAGATTTGTCAAAAACCTTGGATGTCTTTTGTGTTTAGAAGGAAGCCAACGCGAAGCCTTTGGATCGGGGCGTTTAGACCAGGCCACAGTCAGGGGTTCCTGAAATGAATTCGGAGGGAAGGGTTCCCCTCGCACAGGGTCATGACATTGCCAGAGAGATTGCCTGCTAGGGGCAGGTCCCGGGTCTTTACTTTCTCAACATCTCAGGACAGGCAGAGTGTGATCAAATCAGCGTCACTTTGTCACTGCAGAAGGCATGCTTTCCGCTGGTTCATGGCAGGCCAGACGAATTGCCGGCCCCGTTCCAGGTCGGGCCTGGATGGCGGCTTTTGGGAAGTCTTGATTTACCCGGTTGGAGGGGTTCTGTTTCCGTCTGAGTCAGTAACATCAATTGGAAGTTAGGAGTTTGTGCAAACGACTTCTCCTGGAAGGAACGTCAAGACGCTGGATATGCTGAACCGCGCTTTTCTTGGGAGAGAGGCGAGATGCAATGTTGCTTCAAGGGAGTACAAAGGACAGCAAACAACAACATAAAGAGCTAAAAGGCAGGTGCGCGTTTTGCGGCGTGCAAGAGGAACATCAACTTTGTTTTGCATTCGCGCTTCAAAGCCTCAAGCCGAAAGAGGCCAGGAACAACTTCAGCTTGCATCTTGTTTTTTTTTTGTTGGTTAGTATTGGTTTCGCGCTTGGTGCCGGCTTAGTATTGGTTTATACTGCTTCGAACATAGCAAAAATATATAATCCCAGACCAATAACAACATCCTGTATTAGGCTTAGGTACTTCTTTTTATTTTGAGGTAGGATATTTCCTGCAACATTTTGCTGCATTTAGCTCCCTTTGATCAATCGGGCGCCGACATTTTTAGCAGATATGTGGGCTTCCATCGATATTTTCTTGCTGGGCGTTTCCCGTGGTTGCCAGCTGCGTGTTGTTGTGTTCCAGTCGAGCTGAATTGAGGAACCTGTTTGTGACAAAACTGGCACCAACAGCACAGGGACTTGACCTTGTGATTGAATAGACTCATGAGCAAACAAAACAGTAAGAACATCAAACCCTGGACAGCTGGGTAAACTGCATGTTCTTCTCCTCCCGCTGCATTTAGATAGCACCATTGCTCCTAATCTTCTTTGTTTGTTTTGGGAATGCGTCAAACTTGGGACCATTTTGAAGCGAGACGAAAGGATGCCCATGATTTCGGGCACTGCTGGCACATGCCGCCCATATGTTTGGCATTTGGCTAATTGCGTCGTGCAGGTCGGCGACTCAACAAGCGTGTCTTGGTTGAAGTCATAGCCGCGCCCAGCTTGCACTTGTGTTTTGCCATGTCGGCATCAACATGGATTACAATGAATTATTACGCCACATGCAAAGTATGCTAAGTGTTTCAGTTGTCGTGAAGTTTGGTCTGGCTGGATCGTCCTCGCTAAATCTGCGACTCTGACCAGGACACCATCAAATGAAGCATGCCAGAACAAGCGAACAACTATATGAAACATCTCTGGCTTGGCATAACTTCTAGGTAGACGACAGCCACGCCCTTTCTAACTAAAATCATGTGAATAATACAATAATACTTATACATGGGTTGTCAATTGTGAGTCTCCTTTGTCTGTGTTTCAATGTTGCCCTTTGCGTTGTTCTGTTGTATTGTGTTGTTGCAGAACCTACTATGATTGGCTCATTTTCAGATGCCAGCGTGGTGAATCTTTGGGAAAAGATCCACAAACACGCTGAATTCCCCCATGAGACCTTGCGTCAGCAGTCCTGCCAAGGAGCAGCCAGTGATGCGAGTGCCATGGGCTGAGTGCCGATGGAAGAGTGACCCCGAATCTGGGGACCTTCATGGATGGCACAAGAAGGGAAGTCAAAACTGGTCCCATAAATCAACATTTAAACAGTCCACCAGAGGAACGTTGCTAATTTTCAGGCCATGTTTGTGAAACTGGCTTGTTGCACAATTGATTTTAAGTTCAATTGTGCTGCGCCCGGAACATATGTCGGGGGCTTTGCCCCGCTCAATGAGACCGCTTGTGCCGGCTGAAGTATAATGTAGCACGCAGCCCAGCTTTGGCCGAACCTCGCAAGGCCAGCCCAGCTTTGGGATGCCAAGATGTCCTACGAGTGTCTTGGCTTTCAGCTTGGATACAGGGGTCTTTCCTGACATAGGGACCCAGCATGGCGAGGGTACCATTGTTTCCGTTCAGGCCACAGGAAGTCATGGAAGCAAATTCCACGCAAACGCGAATCAGCTGTACGGCAATAGCTGGGCCGTCGACTACCGCCGGAACGAACCGCAGATTTCGCTTCGCCATGGGTGCGTTTGGCCCGGACGGGATGATGGGGGTCCGTTTGACCCGGATGATGGGCGATCGCAGGGCATGCGAGCCATTTTGTAGCCAACACTCAACGTCAGCAGCGTGGTTCAGTTCATGTGGTGTGTTCCAACCGGCTATTTCCAACATTTTCTTCCGCTCCCCCTTGTTTAACCCCGTCAGTCTCGTTCATACCCCTTGTTCATACCCCTTGTTTGTACCCTTCTGCTTTTTGGTCACCAACCCGCCGTGCTTTTTTATCCCTCCTGGGAGGATAAGGGAGGGGACACCACCAGAAGCTGGCTGTTGGGAGCTCAAGCAGGGGTCCCGACCAATTTGCCATGTATGGGAAAACCAATGAGATCCACATCGAACGGCGAGGCAAATAGACTACTTGGGATAAGCCACCCCTGTCATGTCCTTCAGAACAAGGATTTGCACCTCGGAGCCTACCAAAAGCACAACTGGTGCAACCTGGGTGTGGCTCAAAGTTAAACAGGAGGGGTTACGCAGGTTTTGGTCCATGTTTCCACTACCAGGGTTCCATTGTGGTACCGCTTTTTTGAGCCACAGCCACCTGTCTTTTCCACACCCAGCACGACGTGCCTTCGGTTCTTTGGCCGAGGCCAAAGTCGCTCGCCCCGAAGCTGATGCCGAAGCGAGAGGCACTGATCAGCTGGCTCCGCTCGGCTGCCACCATCCAGGCGATGGGCTCGTTCGACGCCCCCATGTTTGGCTCGTGGCTTTCAACAGAAGGAAGGTGAGCTCCCCATTGGTTTTCCAATAACAAGTGCAGGTAAACTCTTCCCGTCCTATGCCTATGTGTTTGAAAGGAATGGGCCAGGTGTACCACCTTTTGGAGGGTGTTTTCAAGGGAATGAAAGGCAGAACATGGAAAGAGCATGTCGGCCATTCGAGCACGCATGGGTCAGGTGCATGGCAGCCTTCAGGGCAAGCCTGGCACTGGCTTTCTGGTTGGAAGTGGTGCTTTCCATTTTCCCAAGGCTCTTAGAAGCACCCCACCAGTCGGGGTTTAGGGATGATACCACCCGCCTTGTTGGGCTTTCTTCATGGGAAGGGGAAACAGACCTCAGGCGGCAAAATGCCAGCAGTCACACAAACACACACGGCAACCGCCCATCAGAAGCTGATGCCCCGGGCAACGTCAAGATTGATTGGTGAGGCAAGGTCCTCTTGAATTGGACAACGATCTGACATGGCGCTTAAAAGGAGACATAGGCGCCCCAAAGCCAACATTGAACAGGTAGAGTTCCCTCAATCAATGTGCGTGTTTGCCTTATTTTTTTCTCAGTGCTGATGATGTTCCGGGTTTCTCCGGGGTCCCTTGTCCAAAACCAGGCCAGATGTTTGCAGGTTGCCAATTCCCCTTCTGCGCGCGCGGCAGGAAGTCGAGACGCTGTCCGCTCTTCGGAGCTGGGCCGGGCACCGCGGAACCCGTCGCAAGATGTGTTGTCCATGTCCAGAATCCCGAGTCCTGTCCAATTAATGGAGTGGTTGAGACCCGGGTGGCAAAGGAGGTTTCTCTACAAGATAGCGTTGGGGTCCATGTCGATCTGCAAAGGAGTCAATAATTGTCGCTTTTCCCAAAAGGAAACCAAAAGAGTCCAAAAGGAGACAATGATTTCCCAACCCCCTCTATTCAACATTCAGTTGCCCGGCAAACTGCCATGGGAGGACACTTCCTCCCCTTTCCCTAAAGAACAGAGACTTTGCGGGGAACCAACAGTTTGGAGGACTTTCAATTTGGGGAAAAGGGTTGGATGTCCGTGTTGGTTTTTGAAGGAGAGTAGTGTCATCAAGGGGCACGAACCCTTTTGTTTGCTGAAGCTCGGGACCCAATCTTTCTTGGTTTTATGCATATGAGCGACTAACTTTATTTACCTTAATGGAAATATGCAAGGGGCTGGAACTATTATTTTTGGAAATGTGCATATTTAGCCGCAGAACGAGTTAGGGAACACCCCGAAAACGAGATAGGGCAAACAAGCATGATAACTTGGATTAGGAAGACATTTTGGCAAGTGCAGCCTGGCAGAGCGTCTTGGGTTCAAGGTTGCTAGATGTAGTGTAGAGTAGACGACCTACGTCGCATGGTCCGTGGCAACTTACCACAGACTTTTCGGGGCAAGTGCTGGCCAACCCTACGATGCCTAACTACAAAAGGGTGGGAAGCAAACTTGCGTTCAAGACTTGCCCCTGGGCAATTTTCAGCCGTCCAAAAGCGGGCCATGTTAAAACGAGTTCCAAAACGAGTTCAAAACGAGTTCAGAACGAGTTCCCTACAGCGTCCAAGTGAGTATTGGCCCAGTTCCTCCTCTTAAGTATTACTTTTTAACAAATTGTGTAGCAGCAGTTTGCTTAGCGAAAGGTTGTGCAGCAACAACGAAGGAGACAAAGGAGGCGGCAAGCTAACCAAAGCTCGCTTACTTCTTTAAGCTCCTCTTCTTCAAGCTCTACAGAAAGTTGAGCCAGATAAAACGAGCGCGGTGTTGGAAAACGAGATAGGGGGCTGCGACCGAGCGCGGGGTTGGAAAACGAGTCAGGAACACCCGTCCATTATGCCATGTAACAAATAAAAGCCGTTGCTCATATGTCACATGACACTCCATGGAATATAGTAGACCCACACAAGCCTAGATTTGGGAGGTGCACGGTTTACTCCCACAAAAGCAACCACCAAGCTCAACGAATGGTAAGGAATTCTTGCATATTGGCCTACATGTAATACTTAGGGCGTCAACCATACCATCATGGAATCATGTATATACCAGGATGGATGGATGTATGGCTGAGTTGCCCAATTTGAAGCGGTGCTGCCTTTGCTTCCCTTACGAATCTCAACACGGTGGCCCCAAGAATGACGCTCCAGTTCCTGTTTGTTTTGCTGGTGCGATAGGTAGGGAATGTGGGAATGAACCTAGAGATTCCCTTAAAGGCCACAAGGGATGGTTCTTCTAGGGTCATTCCTTTTCTCTTTTCCTGCCTTTCGCACCAGCAACATCTCCTAGGTGGCGAGCACTCCTCCAGACCAGAAGGCGCTGACGTTGCAGAGGCAACTCGTCCGATCGTACGGCAGAAGGCCCTGAAATCAGTCGATGTTCCTCCAAATTGTGGTGGCTCAAGATTACGGGCCTCCCAAGTTTCTTGGCTTAGTTTTGGTTTCCAATTACATTCAACCAAACGATGACAACATCAAATCCATATCATCAAAAGGCCGTGTCGTAATTAAGAGCCAAGTCTTGCAAGGGCTGCTGGAGCACGAAAAGAATTGAGCTCTGCGCAGATGCGCTGTCTTGTTTGCGTTGCCAACGCTGAGCTGTGCGTATGTTCCGTCCAAAGATTCCGCAAATCCAACAACGACTCAGGGGAAGTCCGGTTCGATTTGGCAAGATTACATGCCAGGTTGGCACGGACCAGGCAGAGTTTCAGAAAAGACAACTTGTGTATTCTTGCACCAGGATTTGGGAGCACGAGTGCTTCTGGGTTTCACAACCCCCTGCGTACACCTGCAGGAATTCACTCAATGCACCCCATTGTTCGACAATGTGGGCCTTATCTCAATTTGTCTCCTGCTTGAGGTGGGGAAATACTTGATTGGCGCTGGTATGATCATTGTTTCTTCGATCTCTTGTTGCTTGGGTACTGGTGGTCTCTATCAGATCCAGTTTTTCCACCTACAGCAAGAGGGCCATTGGTCGAAGCTTCGCGCGGATATGTCTTTTGTCAGGATGGGCAGCAGCAGCGGCTGGCACAAATGTGCCACGGAGCATGAGCTCTGCGCCGCGCCGGGCGTGGTTTGTTTGAACGAAGGACGACGGGGAGGGAATGGTACCGAAGATGGGGGGAACCGCACGAAAGCGGCTTGGCAGTTTCTGTGATGAGGGAATCTCCTGAGTGACCTTAAATAGCAATAGGAATGGGAATCCTGAAATGGTATCACAAGGGTTTCTTCCCCAACCAGCCGAGTTTTGTCTGGAACTGAAGGGACACAGCCTACATTCCCACGCATACTTGTGACTCTGCAGTCACCAAACTATTGTGTGTTTTGTTTTCGGGGGGCCCCCGAAAGCTTGGTGTTCTGTTTTTGGGGGCCCCCGAAAATTGGGGTGTTCCTTTGGTTTGCCTTTAAAACCACAAATAAGGGCACCAACTCCAAAAAAAGACACCCAAATGCTGAGATTGACCATGGTTGAACTCAGGCAATGAGAGCTGCCCTGAGGGCAAACACAGCTGAAGGGAATGAAAAAGAAAAGCATGGGCGGCGTTCCTGGGAACCGACGACATTTCGCTTAGCAACTGGGGCCAAGTGGCCCCAGTTGGTTGCGATTGAGAGGAACGCAACGCAAGGAAGTCACGTGTGTACGGATCCCAAAGATTCGCCCTAGTTGCCCTGACAAGACGGAAGTGCACAGTCGGTATTTCAAAAGCAAAGGTGTGGTGTTCTCAGAAATGGCAGATGCAGTTCCGTGTTGGTGGGAGAGTATGTGTTTTGTTGGCAACCTTCGAGGTTTCTATTGAACCAGCATAAAGTGTACTGTATATGTTTGCTTTGAGACGCCCTGCGAAGACTTGCCTTATGAACTGGTGCTTTACCCCAGTACCGAGCATGAGCTAGTTAGCATCTTGCCACTCTTGAGCACAGAGCCTCAAAATCTGAAGACACAAATGACGGCTTCACACTAGGAGCGCTTTTGGAACCAAAGGCAAAGAATGGGTGCAGGTCAATATTGAACCACTAGGCCACTAGGGGACTGCAGGCTGCAGGTTATAGTCCTTGTTTTGACCCATACCCAAATCAAGGTGTCAAGGGCCCACGTCTTTGACAACCTTTCAGCAGGGCTCCTTAAAAGATACATGTTGCCCGTTTGAAACATGGCTTTTTCAACACTGAAATAAAAGGACACCACCATTTACAAGTTGCAATGTTCAGGTGTATAATGCATCCGGATCCCTGAACAAGGGCCGTCTTTGACAACCCAAATCAGGGTTCCAGTTTCTTTTTTGGGCTTCGCTGGTTTCGATGCGGCAAACAAACGGCGACTTTCTTGCGGCGAGTTTTTGTTTGGTGTTTTCGTAAGTCGGCAAACCATTTTCAGATATGGATGCTAGATGGAGGCTTCGGATTTTCTATGGGGTAGATGTTAGATGGAGGCTTCGGATTTTTAATTCGGGTCGATTTGTTGAGAAATGACCACCTCCAGAAAGGTAGTTGTTTCTTCAGAGGAACCGCTAGCATTCTTCCTTGTCTGATCAGCCACGGATTTGAGCGGGGTGGTCCTATTCGGCAAAAACACCCAACAAACGAACGTCCTGAAGTGGATCAGCATGGCAGGTCTGCAACACGCAGCAAATCCGCATGGGAGCGGCTTCTTGGATGAAGTTGAACTTGGGTGGCAGCGAATGATGCCTCTCCCCAAACCGCGCATGCTGTTGGATCCGGTTCCGTACTCAAACGTATGATATGTACTAATGTACCCGCAGCTCAAACTTGTTGCTGTGTGTCAACACTGATTTTGTTGAGCCTCTGAGAGCCGTTCTCAAAGGGGTTGCAAGTTTCGACACTCGCACGCAAAACCATTTTATGTTTATTTGTTGGCTTTGCTTTGGGGGTCTACATTTCCGCTGTGTAAGAGGACAATGGGGCAGCGCCCCGAAACTGTTGACCATTTAAGTTGGAGGGTTCTAATGGTTCTACCAGCTTGAAGGGGACTTTTAGGTTGTAGTAGGATGACATCCCATCGTTAACTGTTGTTCATCCACTACCCAGCTAAAAGACGTGTGTCAGGGATGGCAGTAACCTTTCTAGCCGCCATGGTAGAACCAACAGTTACTGGGTGTCGCATCTCTGCTGCTTCTGCTTGCAGGAGATTCGACTTTCAGGGTAAAACACCAATGGAACGTGTTCTCAGGAGTCATTTGGACACACTTTTAGCGGCGGCCTTCCGCTAAAGAAACATGAACATACGCTTTCCCTTTCATCCTCCGGCGGGGTACATTGTGAAAGAAACACCAGGCTTCACCAGACGTTGCTTTGCCCCGTGCCAGCATTGTCCCAGAATGTTCCGGTGATACGTTGCATCCATTGCTTTCCTGACATCCTCGCTGTTTTTTGGTTGGCAGGCAGTGAGACTTAGCTTGGGAAGCCCGGGGAAGCCACCGGGAGACAGGAGGAGCGCTCACTTGTGTTCTTTCTGTGGAATACGAGACCCCATTCTGGGTAGCTATTGAGGGAAGGATGACAAGAGATCGTGTGCCAGCCCAGGGTGAGTCCTGGCTTTCGTGGAAGTTTCCAGGCGCGACACGAGGGAAAGCTCTCATGCCCAACTCTCTCCTCCAAATCCAAGCGAAATGTTTTGTTTGTGGGCCTAGCGGGAAGATGCCTAAGAAGGGAACAGTCATTTGCCAGGGATTTGGAGGAGAAAGCTAAGGCTTACCTGCTCAGTCAGGGAATCAATCGGATCTGAGCTGTTGGTTCATTGCCGAAGATGAGCAACTGGAATGTATAGCAATCCTTAACGTTTGCTTGCTGTGTCATGACAAAGCGACATAGTGTTGGTTGGCCAAGTCAAGACGCTCGCTCGGCCTTTTCGTGCCATCCAAGCTTGAAACGGCGGCAGCTTGTGCCTTGCAATTCGACGCGAATGGGGGATCGCCCGAACATCGGGCTTTGCAGTTGTATTCCGTCCTGCCGAACGCGGAAGGGGGGACATTGAAGCGATGCTGTTCAAAGGCAATCCTCTCTAGGATTTGCCAACCATCCTTTTTACAAAGGATCGCCATCAGGTTGTGCAATCTCCCACCTTGTTTGTGTTGGTTTCCCTTGTTGTAAATCCGACCAACCAAACAAGGTGTGCTGTTCACATGGCCACGGGGCAGCGTCTTGATTTGCCTCCGCTTCACTTGTTTCACCCCATGCTACACGGATAGCTCCGAAGGTGGCAGTTGGATCTTTGGCCTCATTCGATCGTTGTCCTGCTTTGGGACAAGTGACGGAACCAACAGAGGAACACTCCCCAACACAACAGGGATTGAAGCTGATACATCCACTGGGAATCCGTTCAAAAACTTGGCTATGAGTTTCAATAGGGGAACACTTGACGGGCCTCAATCCCCATGGAAAAACAACTACAACAACACTTACCACAATCAGAATCAAACCCTTTTGGCGTCTCGCGGGACATGCGTCCCTTTGTCGCCGCAGAATTCCTGACGCCCACGGAGCAGTGGGCTGTGAACTGTGCCTGGGAGCTCAGCGCCAGCCAATAAAAAGGCCCCTTAAAACATAGAGAACACTCCTGCAGGTTAACCGGAACCCCAAAAGAACCGCCACTTTTTGATTAATCTCATTTTTGGGGGCCTTCTTAAGTAGGTTCCATGTAGAATTTGTAGGGGAGTGTGTGGTAGTTAGTTTTTTTGGAGAAAAGGAGACCGAAAGGAAATCAGTGGTTTGGGGGGGGGTTCCCCTATTTGCAGACAACCCCATAGAGTTCCGCCCGCTCCAACCATGGGTTTTAGTGGGTACTTCCGTTCGCATTTTTGTGTGAACCGTCATCCAATGGGTCAGCCTCACAAGCACACCCCGCCATTCTCCTTGGATTGGTTTTGCTCGAACGCCAACCGACAGAACCGGGGTCCCTTTTTCCAGGACCACTCGCAAGGGGCCAAATCCGGCAATGCCCTTTGGTGTCCAGACATCGCGGGCCAAGTGTCTTTTTGGCAGGGCAAGGAGGCAAACTGGCCGCGAGAAATCCACAGCATTGTTCTTTTGGGTGTCTTCTTGCAGAGAAGCCTATATTCCTTCTTATACCCACTGGTGTCAGTGATACCGATTGACTGTCCTTTTTTCACTCATGCCTTTGACCCACGGAGTACTTTGCGAGCCTTTGCTGCTTCTTCCTTGGGCCTTCTTGTCAATCTCCAGCATTTTGCCTCGTCTATGACTGGAAAGATCGTGTTCGCGCAGGACTCTTCAAGCGCCGTCCATTCCTTTCCTTGGGTTACGCACACGGAGCCCCATTTGTGGCGTCGCTTACGAATGAACTGGGATTGGCTAGGTCTCTATCCTGAACTGCCCAGACCAAACTCAAAGAATCCTGTTGAGAGCCTTTGCAGGGCGCCAGACACAAACAATCACAGATAGTGCTGCCTTTTTCTTATTTAAACCTTGCGGCTCTCTTCAAGAGCTGGTAAAGCCAACCTTCCAATCCCTTGACAACTGCAACGCCTCGCACTTGCCATGTTGTGCTTTGTTGCTTCGAAGGCTTCTGTTCTGTTTTCTGCAAAAGAAACAAACATGCTGAATTGGCAACAGAGTGCTTCAAAAACTTCCGAGAGTTCAACAAGTCCAAGCCACCTTATTTGGCAACATGAGTCACAATCAAAACCCAGGTAAGTGTAAGGGACAATCCCAACCACAAATAGCTGCGGCCGCCTTCTTAGTTCTGTACATGGTTCTGGGTCGAGCATTTTAACACCAGGTTTTGATTGTGACTCACATGGTGAAGTGAATCAGGAGGTGGCCCACTTCGGGGACACAGACCCTG